AGTTAACAAACTTATCACGTGGCATCTGGTGAAGGGTGCAGAATGAACAGTAAATGAACCTTATTTTTGAGCCAGTGTTATATAAACTACTAATTTGAACTGTTTGTCAGTATACATGTGTATGACTATCATATGAATATATGATATATGAAAGTCACCTATGTGAAGATAAAACTGGTCTTGATATCAGAGATAGTAAGACTACTGAGTAAAAGAGAGAGAAGAGATTAGTAGTATAGTGGGCAGTGGGTTAAATACAGGCATACAATGAATGAGAGCTAAACAACAAACTAATTGTGGGGCAATAAGTAATCTCTACAGACCCTTTGTCTGTCTCTAACTAACTAGGCAGCTAGCTGAGCCCTAACTCAAGGACTACCCCCCTATTCCCAACTTTCTCAGTCTTCTGTTAGGGAGCAACTCTAAATTATAACTTCTATCATTACAAGCTCTAAGGATCATAATTAGGTTATGTTTTTCTGGTTTTATATACAGTATTAATGGACAATTTAGCAATGGAGTTTACTGATGATACAAAGCACAAAAAGAGGTGGTCAATATAATTGCAGAGTGGATTAAAACTGAACCTCATGTGAATATAATAAAGACCTATGTCTTTTAAGAGTTAGGCGGATCAGGTGCTTGTACTTTGGTGGAAAGAAATGTTAAGGGACAAAGGATACCATAAAAGGGAAAAGGACAAAGGCACACAATAGAAAAGCAAAAAATAAAAAGAGCAAATGATAACAGATTAAACTCTAAAAACACTGATGGTATGCTTAACAATCATTAAAAAAAAAGGTAAAAAAACCCATGGATACCTTTGGCATTGCTAGCTAGGATTTGACCAATATTATAGATTAGCATTTAAATGTGTTTATTAAACATGAATACTTTCAAGAATAAAACAGGCAGGAACTTCAAATTATAAGATCAGAAGATGTAGAAACCCATTTTCCCCAGACCTGAAAAATCATGGGAGAAATGTGCTTGTGTTTTCAAGAACCAGGCTTCTTTTGAAATGTTGATACACAAAATAACTGATACCTTTATAAATACTGAGTAATTCAGGGTGAATTCAGTAATCTGTTAGAATGATTGATTCTGAATGACTCTTGTTCAGTTCTCACAATGAACAAGTTTGTGGTAAGTTTTCACATACAGTCCTTGCATTAAGTGAGAAAATGTTTCAAATGAACACAGAGCCAAGTCCAGAGAATATAAACTGGAGGTGAAAAACTAGCAAATACTTTGAACATGGACTGTAAGGCTAACAGGGACCATCTCTGCCCACCTGCTGCAGAATTCCCATCACAAAGTTTCAGTCAGTGATTCCTTCGCATTATCATTCAGAAGGAATCTGGCTGTGATCAGTTCCAAGAAGCCCGATCACAGACATCATGGACTTTAACTGGGACCCTTCTCTAATTATAGCACAAGACTCCAGAGTGTATAGCACAGGCCCAGAATTGGATTGAATTGTTAAGGAAGAATGATGAACATATCTGAGAATATAATGATTTGGTCCTGGAAAAGTCACAAACAAAAGAAGGCAAAAGGCAGGGTAGGGTGGCACCATAGAGACTAACTGGTTCAGAGCGACACAAGCTTTTGCAGGCAACAACCTATTTTGTCAGATGTTATCGCTAAGGTCCCATCTTGCCCTACCTCCTGCCTCACTTCAGACTAAAATGGGCAACCACATCTGTAAAAAGAAGGAGGAAAGATCATTTAATTATAAATGTTTTAGTTCCTCAAAGCTAAAAATGAATCTAGCTGTAAGCAGGTTGCCTCACCTACTCAAGTCTGCAGGCAGGTTTTACTCCCTGAGGTGCTCCTAGCCAGTTCTCCCAAATAAAACACAGACTTTATTCAATAAGCAAACAAAATTAACCCCTGTCCCAGGCACTAAAAGAGGAGCCTTTTGGCTCTAGCCCCAGCACAGCAGGTTGACCCTTTCTTGCAGCAAGCTGGTCTACTCAAAGCTTGCTTCCTCCTCTCTTGCTTACTCTTCTGGGAGCTTTTAAAGCTCCTATCAGGATGCTCCCCACCTAGCCACATGCCTCATAGTGGGGCTTTTTCAACAAGGCTGATTGTTCCCTCTTAGAGGGCCCCCGGTTACACCCAGTCTGCTACACTATCCTATCATGTCAAGTGGCAAGGCTAACCTAGTGGAGAAGCTCTATGCCAAAATAAATGAGCTCTAGTGTGCTGAATCAAAAGGACTCCCACATCACCTGACTCCAAATTCCCAAGACTGTCAGATCTCAGGAAGCCGATACAAGTTAGTACAGACATAGTCAATTAGAGAGGAGCTACTGGTGCTCAGCAGTTCTAAGTTACCCACCTTATTTACATGCTAATATATGGCCTTCCACATCTTTCATTGGGCACTCAAGTTTGAAAATGTTAGCTCTTTCGTTCTACGACTGGAGTAAACCATACCATCTGCCACCTGAGGTGGCTTTGAAACCAGCCTCTGGGTTGCTGTGAAAACAAAGAAAAGAGACCCAGTATAGAGTCTGACATACATTTGAACAGTCTGTAAAATCCAGATTATTTACTCAGTAATTTTTAACTGCTGTCTGTGAATAGTTATTGTGTATTGTCAGTCTAGGCCATGACAGGTATTGTTTCCCTGCCTATGCATTTCATTTAAGTCCCACTTACCATCTGTTATATTCAACAATTTCACCCCCTTTTATATTGGCCCACTAAAGACAAATTCCACATCCTTCCAGCAGTAAGTCCCACTTCACCCCACGTACCAAATGAATTCATAACATTTATTACTATTATCCTTTCCCTTAGAGGAGGCAGTGTGCTTGAAGAGGCTGCTGAGGGGCTTCACTGAATCAGAGCATCTCCCCAGCTACATTCATTGACCAGTAAGTGCTATTCCACGTTTTCAGCTTTGGTGACTGTATATGCCCTGTATTGGACAAGGGCCTAACTTTAGCTCCCACACAGAGAATGTTTTACTCTTATAAGTATTATGTCTTAGATCTCAATGTAATTTCCTACTTCCTAGCCCCTCTCTCTATTCCCATAGCCCTCCCCACCCCAAAATTCATAGTTTTCATTCTTGTTCAATTTATTAACCAAGATATACCAAGAGAGTAAATTCTTACTTTGTTCCCTTTGCTGAGTTTCTGAAAGATAATGAACTAACTGGTTTCTGGGTAATTTATGCATACATTTATATACTAAGCTGTAGTTTAATCAAACTCCTTTGCCTTGCGTAGTATAATAGCAATATCTAATGAAAACATATGAAGTATGTGTTTCGTAATTACCTCAGACAGCTCATTTCGATTCGCTTCCTATTTAAATCCCCAAATTCCTATCTTCTTGCATTGTAAACACTTTCCTTCCTATCTCATCAATCTGAGTTATGTAAATGATGTGGGGGTGGGTGTGCAATTAGATTTTTTTCCCCTCAGTGTTATCAAAGCCTCTGTTCTCAGTGAAACAGCTGACAGGGGTGCACACAAATATGCTCCTTCTTTGACTCAAGAGCCAGAGTTCATGTAAAATTGCAAAGAACTCTGCAAACACTATTGGAGTGGTATTGCTGGGCCCAGGATACAGAGATTTCTAAATTAATTATTCAGACAATGAACAAATTCATAAACTGAGTCTGTGACACAACACAAGGGCAGATGAATCTGAAATATGTTGAAAACTATAACCTTGACTGTCCTCTCACTCACACTGGAGTAGATCAGGACTAATTCCTTTCAGGCCAATGGGACTATAGGAAAGTAATTTGATGTGAGAGAATCAGGTGCTATATTTCCTGATGCCTCAGAGATAACAAATTTGTTATAGCAGAAAAGGGAAGGAAAATGGATACCTAAAAGGTCCAAGGTAGCAACCCTCTAGGAAAATGACTTTGCACCAGCCTTATGCAGTACTTCAAAATCATAGCTACAACCAGCAGGGAACCAGATAAGTTTCTGCAGCTACCAGCTATACACAATATGCAGCCATGGGTGGTAACTTTAATGCATCTAAGGAAAAGGCAGCGGAGAGGATATCAATAGTGATGTCAAATCAATACAGAAATTGTCAGTGGTTGCCAATAAGCCATCCCCTCTTGCTACTGTGGAAGAATACTCTTTCTGCTTATGCTTAATTAATTCTATGCATTTATAGTTTAAATGTAAACCTGCATTTACTCGATGTTTATTGAGTCAAACACATAACCAAATAACATGAATCTAGAGAAATAATATTTTGCTTCTGAACAGCACCTTCTGTGCTGAAGGATCACAGAATAATTCACCCCAAACTGTAAATTCATTTACAGTATCAACTATTCTGCCCTTCTAGGAGGAAAACACAGGAATAGTGTCAGTTGGTTTAAAGTGAAATCAGTGGAAGCACTTTTGCTTACACCAGCTGAAGATCTGGCCCATGTTCTTTAGTGCAAGATGACTTGTCTTACAATCAAGAAAATTACTGCACAAAAGAATAAAAGTAATGTCTTCTTGAGCAAATGTGCATCTTCTTTAATACTGGGACGGCCACTGAGTTCTACTATCTTTATGTCAGGCTGTTGACCATAATCAAGCTAGTTTGAATTTATTCTAGTGTAAGACAGAGCAGAATAAGAGACAAAGTGTGCCAGGAAACAAGCATATTTCATAGATGTTTAAAGGTGAAGTCAAAGCCATTCCTAGAGGTGTGCAGGACCTGGGGCATATCAGCCTGTGCGGGGCCAGAGAGGGGTGTCAAGCAGCTGGAGGTAGTGGGGAGGTGGGGGTGGCAAGTGGCCAGAGCCAGTCAAGGGGCAGGGAAGGGAATGGCAAGCAGCCAAAACTAGCAGTGCTCGCTGGTGGCATGTGGTGGCTGCTGCGGGGCCTATGTGGCACTGACTGCTGGGCCCCCCAAAGTGCGGGGCCCAGGGCAGTTGCCCTGATTCGCACCCCCTAGGGACAGCCTTGGGTGCAGTACTCAAAAGAAAATGATCATTTCAAATTACAAACATTACATACCTGAGAATTTTTGTGGATCCCTTCCTTTGTAACCTAGAGCAGAGGTTCTCAGACTGTGGCCCGTGAACCACCACTGGTCCACAAGCTCAATTCAGGTAGTCATAGATTTATTTTTTCTGACAACAGAGATTAAGTGGTCCACTGAGACCCTCAGCAATTTTCAAGTGGTCTGCAAAAATAAAAGTTTGAGAACCACGGATCTAAAGTGTATCCTGATATCACCTAAAGTTGCTGAACTTCATTGTCAATGTGGCTGCTGAGATGTCAATAGTCCTATTCTCTTTTTAGCTGTGATTCATATGGGTACAATGTGACTCCTTCCTTGCTGTTTTCTCAGTCCTGATTCCATGCCATGTCCCCTTCTCCTTTTCCATGAAATGCGTCTTCCTCTCATTGTACTTGTTGTTTCTTTTTTCTCTTCTTCCTTCTTGTCAATAATATTAAATATGTTTAATATGTTTATTAAATGGGACTCAGCTGAAAGACAGAGGTATGTGGTTATATAGTACTGTTACTGGGATCTGTAGGTTTAGTAAGGCTAGTACTGACTTGTTGTAGAATCTCAGTATCTAACAGGTTTATTTGCCAGGAAAAATAAATTCTTCATAAAGTCTCAAGATCTCCTCCAGTGTTGAGATTCTATCTCAAATCCTGTAAATCTGTCACTTTCTTAAGCCCCCAAAGCTGGAATTACTGGAATAGCTTGAATAAAAGCTTTCATTTACAAGGGAAAAGGTCTATTTCTAGCCCTTGTGGGTCAGGGAAAAAAATTAAAATTATAGAACATAAGTGACCCACACCAAAAGGCAAGTTGCAGACATAGGCTAAGGAGAGATATTCAAAAAGCCAGAGCCTGAATTGATTCAATCATTGCAGGTTAGTCTAAATTGGCTAGGCTGAACTGGTTTGTAACTGGACAGACATTGTCTCTGGACTGAGGAAATTCAGGCACATGCCTGCAGTGGCTCAGGCTAGAACCTGGGGGTGCTACAGCAGCCCTCCCTTCCCATGTACAGTACTGAGCTGAGGGGGCTGGGGGTGACCAGGCCCTGGCACAATGCTTTTATTAGGGAGATCTACCTGCACCATCCCAGGCTTTTCCCCTCTGGCTTCTCAGGGGGTGGGAGTGTTGCCAGACCTCAGCCTCAGATAGCTCTCTGAGGCAAGGGAGTGGGGTGTGCAGTGCATGCATCTGTTGATGATATGGAGATTTTCAATCTCCCTCCCTGCTTTGTTATACTGTCTGCAGCAAACTGACAGGCAAGCAAGCCAGCAGGGGGCTGATAACAGTGTTTAAAATAGCATTTCTCACCCCATAGCAAAACACTAGCCTCTCTCCTTAAATTCTTCTTAAACAGCTTACCAGCTGACCTGTGGCTTAGCTCCAAAAAGCTCTAAGCAGTCACTGTTCTGTCTGCCTGTCCTAGTGAAATTAGAGAGACACACACACAGATACCTCTCAGCATTAGCTAGCAAAATGCATTCCTAGCATACGTGGGGCTGGGGTCCATGCTGTGGGAGATGGGATGGAGGGGGGGGATTCCTGCTTGAGCAGTGGTGAGGGGGAGGGGTAAAGTCAGGGGGAAGCCAGGCAGACCCTTCTGTACCTGCAGTCTCTGCAGCAGCTTCATCCAGGGAGCAGAGGGGAGGGGCCATCCCTGCTATGGAGCAGACAGCCCTACCCAGCCCAGCCCAGAGAGCATGCCGAGATGCTGTGGGAGTCTGATTTATGGTAAAATATCATTCTGACTTTGAAGTAAACACTTTACTAGTGAAGAAAGTATTGCAACAAACTCTTGAAGGTCAGGTTATTGACTCTTGATTCTTGATTGGGTGGGGGGGCAGAGTCATACTGTCATTTGCTACACAGTTCACTCATTGTTTCAGAGACCTCTTACTTCCCCCCAGATCATTTATTCTTTGTTCCTCAAATCCCCATTTTGATTCCTTTCTGCCCTTCTTCTAGATCCGGCCCTCCCTGAATATTGCTCTACAAAATCAGGAGGGCACCTCCTTATCTAGACTCCATTCCCATCCTACCACTAGTCACCACCATTTTTCATGCCTGGTCATCACACTGTCATCCTTCATGTCCCAAAATTGATCAGCAGCTGTACTGCCTCTTGAA